CCCCCGCCTCATCTACAGAATGTGACGTTCTAATACGCAGAATTACAGAATAAAAGCACACTCACTTCATTTGGATTATGTGTGATATACAACATAGAGAGCAGAAGGGTTGCTGGTTTTCGTCTTTAGCCAAATATCTTTCCTACATAGCCCAATACTTCCTTTATGTTTTCTCTGGATCTGTTGTATGATAATGTAATTTTGTTCATTTGGTCTGTCTTTCTGTCTTTCAGGCACCTGTTAACACTTATAGCCCAACGGGGGAAGACACTGATGCTTTGATAGACAGTCAGCCAGAGCAGCAGAATGGGGCCTGCGAGCGGACACCTGACAATGACAGGTAGGAGAGAGGTTGCACAAAACACATACAGTACTGAGTCTAAACTGCGGACTGTGTATATTTCCATCTACCCTGATGGAGACAGACAGGACTGGACAGGTTTAAGTGTCATGTCTTGTGCTGAAGGTGTGGCTTCACATCGAGGTGATTTGATTCAAACTGTAACACGTCTGATAATAAAAGCGCTATAGCCATCGGACATGAGAGCTTTCAAGGATCAAGCTGCATTAGAAACAACCCTTTGTGAAACTGGACTGGGATACATTTCAGTCAGCTTTGTGTGCTTAAATATTCAGGACAATGTGCATTTGGAAACTTCAAACATCAATTATTTGACATAACCAATAGTAACTGCACACTAAAATATGATAACAAGGACTTTCAAGTGTTTCCAAGACTGAAGCTCCCTGTGCCCCCTTGTGGCTACTGGAGCTCAACACTGAAACAGTTTCCTTTTCCTACTCATTCAAATCACACATGATTTAAATTGTTCTCTCTCTTCAGCCCAGAGCCCGTCCCTGACGAGGTTCCTGAAGAACCCTCTGGAGACCCTGATACCACTGACTTCTCCAGAGTGCCGGAGCAGGCTCCATTCCCTGAGGTTGGTGACTCTTTGTTTCTACAGTATTCCTCCTTTGTGAAAGGGCACAGCCGATGTCTGCGTCATCCTCTACAAACATTAACATGTAGTTTGGGTGTAACTTTGCATACCTGACTGGAAAGAAACACTCTCTTGCATCTGCTTTGCTGTAGTGTGATAGTCCATTTACAATCACAGTGTGTTGCATTCAGTGTGTGCTAGATGATGTGTGTGTTTTTGTGCACAGAGCTCCACTCCTCTCCTCGACACCAGCGCTCAGAGATCGAAGGCAGATCTGGGTAAGCGCCGAAGTCGGTCGCGTCCGCCACTCTCGATGCGTGGAGGTTTCTCTTTCTCAAATGAAAGTCAGGACTGGAGGGCCCAGGACACCACAGGTGATTACAGCATCCATACTGTTGAATGATCTTCAGTACATTGAGGGCATGAGCTCTAAGTTACAGTTTTTTTATAACTAATCAAGCAATTTCTCAATAAAGCAGTCTGGAAATGTTCATGTACTGATGACTGAACGTTATATTGGTGATTTTAGATGAGAAGAAGGCATCGTCTAAGCAAAGGGATTCAGACTCTGAGGAGGAGCAGCCTAAACCGAAGATAGCTCGTTCTCCTCCCCCCTCTCAGAGAGTCCCCATGTTCACTGGTTTGAACCCTGCATCCCTTATTGTAAGCACTATCAGAGTTTGAGAATCATTTACTATGTTTTACAGTTTTTACGATAAATAACTTGATACGAATGGGTGGCATTTAAATTGACTTGAATTCAAATGTCCCCTCAAGGCTCAGCTGAAAAGGAGAACAGGTGGAGTAGGAACCAGAGGAGGCGAGGAAAAGGAAGAAAACAAGGAAAGTCGAAATGAGGAAGCGGCTCCATCTCCCTCAAAACCCTCCCGCTCTCCTCGCCCGGCCGCTCGTTCTCCTCGCCCGGCCGCTCGCACTCCTCTCCCGGCCGCTCGCACTCCTCGCCCGGCCGATCGCTCTCCTCGCCCGGCCGCTCATCTCCCCGGGGCGGCCCGAGTCCTGCCACCCATAGGTGGTGGGGGAGGAGGGTGAGAGCAGATCATGACAGCACAGAAACTTAAAAAATCCTTTATATGATGAGAAATATGGTATGTGTCTTAATCATGACCTGTGGTTCTGTGTCATTCAGGTCTGTCTCCTCTCCCGCCTGGCTGAAAGAACTGAAGTCTAAGAAGCGCCTGAGTCAGCACGACAGCGAGGCTTAGCCAGACGCAGGTGAGCAATATGAGCAAGGGGAACATTGAAATACCAAAGACAGTTATTCTTGGCCACATAATAAAATATTAATTCAAAAAGGAAGTTTGTTTTCTGCTTTTCCCTTGTGATAGACCTAGCATGTTACCAGATTACCTGGGTTTCTTTCGTTACATTGTAAAGACGAGTCACATTTTTCAGCATTTTTGAAACAACTACTTTATGTATCAATTTAACGCTTCTTTCTTTTTCTTTTTACATTTTACTAGCATTGTGAGTTGGTCAAATAAACACATTTTAGCTTCTTCTCATAAAAAGACGAGCCAGATTTTCCTATTTAGCAACGTGATTTAGCTACTGGTTGTATTAACAAGCACATCAGAGCTTTCACAGCCTGCCCTATACATTGCTAGTGATCCGTAATGTAATGTAAAATACTTAACAGGATCAGCCATAGAGGAGCGTTGAGCACGAGCGTTATGATCTTTTTGAGATATGGCTAATTGTGAAGGCGTTATTTAAGAGTTAATATGCTTGTGAGTCATGATGTGAGACAGCTGGATAGGTTTGCGATAATAGAAAACAAGTGCTTTGGACTTTCCGGCAATGCTGTCAGGAACACTTTAATTGAATGCAACTGTAGAAGAAGCTGACAGCAAAGACAAAAGCAGGAAGTGGGCCATATCTCTGCAGAGCTTTCTCCTATCACCATGTTAAAGTGTGCACTGGGTGAAAAGGTTCTCTTTGTTCCTGAATGCAATCTACTCTGCTTGATGCTTTTTCAATTTGCCTATTGAATCGCCGCTTGCATCCATTTTCTTTCTTACGTTAACAGCTGCAGATTTAAATGGAAAATGTTGATGTTACAGGGTTATGTGTTTGAGTGCCTCTTTGACCCTCCATGCTACACATTAATGCACTCTTGGGTACTTAGAGTCTATTCCAACAAATGACATGTGATAACATATATGCATAAAGTCAATGACCTTAGTCTGTGATAATGGAAAAAAAATGGAACAAACAGAAATTGCACTCTGTTCTATGATTTGCACTAGATTTTTATGTTGTCTTTTTTCAAAATGCTTCACTCTTTTATTCTTCCTACCCGAGTTTGAAATGTAAATAATATGCTATATATAATAAACTTTCCATGCTGATAAATCAAATAATCATTAATACCTTACACTGCACTGTAACCTTTTTATTCTCTTGACTTTTTAATGACTGTTTTTAAATGTATATGAATATCATTCTATAATGCATTTCTGTTGCATACCAATGCTTTTAATGTTATTTGTAAAGCACTGTGAATTACCTTGTATTGAAATATTCTATTTTTAAAAACTTGCCATGCCTTCCTGAACTTTTCTTCCTCTGGTTCCCTTTAGGAGACACTGGGACAAGGCCGTTCAGCAAGAATCAATCCATCTCAGCTGCTGCTGCTGCTGGCAGAAACTTTGGCATGATTGCTCCATTTTCCACTTTAAGTGCCTTATTTCGGACATTTACTGAGAAATGCAACAGGGGTATTCAGGCTTTTGCTGAACGTAGTGGCCATCAAGAACTTGTCTGGCCTGTACATGAAATATGGTGCCAAGTCTGTGATGTTTTCATTCCAAGTACATGATTTATTTTCTGCTGTACAGAGGCTCAATGGAGGCAAAATACCCCATTGTAATTCAGAGCAAAGCCATGGACTGTCCTATTGTTTGAATGTATAAGTCTAATATTGACAGGACCGATGACACTAGGCTTCAGCAGGGTATCGCCTGTCACACACACCTATGTACAGAACATACTGAATATACATATAGATTGCATCTTGTGTGTATTTAGTTAAATTGTACAAAATGCTTTTTACATTATCTTTCTAATCACAAGTAAACCTTTAAGCACTTTAAGAACATTTTTAACAAATGATGGTACATCTAAGCAATACAATAATCAAGTACCTTACTGTAGTATCATGGTCATTGGTTTGTTTTAATTGTTTCACCATGTATGTCTATTCTCTTTCCAGTTCCAAAATGTAAAATGTACAATGACTAGGATTTTATAAACATTTGTATTGATTCATATGAAAAATAATCTATCAACTATTGTGTTTATAAGTTCAAATTGACAAATTCTTCTTATTGTGCCTTTAAAGATGCACTTCCTGGATTTTGTCCAATCGACCAGTGAGCTGGTGAAGTATATTTCTATGCTGTAACAGAATCAGGAATTGTTTTTGTAAAATATGAAACCCAGAAAAATGCAATCATCTACTCGAGATGCTTTTATGTGCCTTTTTCAATGTTAAAGAGTGGCTGTCATCAATGCAGTAATCATGTATGATCAATGTCATGTATAATAAGAGGAAATTGAGGGAATTTTATTAAAACCTTTTTCTATGAAATGCAATAGAGTGTGTGGTTTTTTATGGAAAAGATAGGTGGAAGTGGAGCATTCAAACATACACACCATCCGGTCAGTTTTAAGATACACCTTGAACAAAGTCTCATGTATTGTGTCCACTAATGCATTGTTATCTAAATAGATATGTGTTCTTGTTGTGCCAATCATTAATTTAGACTGTTTTGCTGCGAGTTGCAGAGTGTTGGAGATATAAGCCCTAAAAATATCTCCCTTCTCTCGAATATAATGGAACTAGATGGCACTCGTCCTGTGCTGCTCAAAGCAGCCAGGAAATCAATTTGAAACACTTATCAGCAGTGTCTCTTTCCAGGAATCATTTCAAGACTTAGTATGCAGTTTTCGGATAGGAACGTTTTTCTTAACACATTGCCGTTTAGAAGAAAGAGTGCATCTACACAAAGTTGAGGGGCACTCCTGTGCTAATGTTACATCTAAGTCGAGGAGGGCGCAATTAATCCTATCTTACATGTTTACATCCCATGCTGTCATTAGCATTCTTACATAAAACAAAGTGCTTTAAGCAGCTGGTATCTCCAACTCATCCCCCCAAAAATCTGACTAGATAAATAGCACTCCAGCTAAGAGGAAAAATATGTATTATTGATTTTGGGGTGATCCTATATAAAGATAAAGATGAAGAAACAGGCAGAAGACATCATTGCAAGATAGCTGTGTGGGGCCAATACTGCTGAGTGAGACTGATCTCTGTTCATTCTCTTGAAAAGTGCGTGTGCCCGCTGTAGGATCATGGGCAGGATGGCAGCGTTTGCCAGTGTGCCAGGGGCAGAGGGGCAAGCCTATTGAGAAGCAGTGTGATGGACACAATGGGTGCGACAGACTTGCTGCATCAACAGGCTTTTTGCTGCTGTGGCCAGAAACAAACCATAAATACCCCGACTGGCCTCCACAGAACGCTCGCCAGGCCTCCACACCCACAAACACCCTCACACTGAGACAGACAGGAAAGAAAGAAAACAAAGGGGAAAGACGTGGTGCAGTGAAACACAAGCAATCCAGGTAAAGCAAATTAAGATATTCCCTCTCTTTTAGGCTTTTCTTGTTATCCTGTCTCCCTGTCCCTTCTTCTATCTGCTTGCTTCGTAAGAAGCATTTTGTGCGTGCACTGTTGATGTGATTTGATTTCTTACAGATAGAATGGACACAATAGGATTACGTTAAATAAACAAGTAAAAGTCTGCAAAGGTAGATTTGTGAACTATCAATGCAAGCAGCTCATAAAAAAAAATGCTTGAAGCCTTTCCTGAGATGTATTAAAGTTTGATAATTGTTGTTGGTGCAATCAACTGTATATACCCCAAAACATTACAGCTAAAACAAATTAAGAGTAAAAATTAATCCGATGTTAGCGCTCATAGGATTAAACAATGTTGTTGCTGTTCTTTAGAGGCAAAATGACTGACAAGCAGGGAACCCCAGACCAGCTGCCAGCAGAAAAGGGCCAAGGAGGGGCCGGAGTCACATATCAGGTAACTCAATAATCACATGTCCACAAATTATTATATGTGTCAATTTGAGATCGGTCAGAAATACCTTGACTTGGACTTTGTTGGAGATCACATTCACCCGACTCTCCACCTCTTTTGCAGTTGGCAGTTTTTGAGTTTGAGAACTTTCGGGGAAAGAAGGTGGAGTTCTCTGGTGAATGTAAAGATGTGATGGAGAAGATGCAGAAGGTCGGCTCAATCATCGTGGAGTCTGGACCGTGAGTAATCTAGTTTCACTTCATTGACTTTCATACAATATTTATTGCATCTGCATCCAGTTTTCTAGCTGTTTTTCTTGCTTGGCATTATTTTTTAGCATTTTGATGTAATGCATTTTCTTTTTACCTTCAGATGGGTGGGATATGAGCGTCCAGGTTTTGCAGGAGCGCAGTTTGTGCTGGAGAAAGGAGAATATCCCCGTTGGAGCACCTGGACCAACTGTCTGGACAGCTACAGCCTGAGCTCATTCAAGCTTCTGAAAGTGGTCAGTATAATAAGTGTAATATTCACAAATCCTCTCAAACATGATAAACCCATTGTTTTTTTTTCTCTGCAGGATAGTGCAGATCATAAGCTGCACCTGTTTGAGAATGCAGTGTTTGAAGGTAGAATGATGGAGATTGTTGATGATGACGTCCCCAGTATTTGGGCATATGGTTTCCAGGACCGTGTGGCCAGTGCAAAGGCAATCAATGGAACGTAAGCTGTAACCTTTCCAGTGGTAAATGTCATATTATATATTTGTTCTATTTTTAAGGAAAAGTAAAACACTACTCTTTCTCTTCCCATGAAGGTGGGTGGGATACATGTACCCAGGCTACAGAGGGCCCCAGTATGTGTTTGAGCATGGAGATTTCAAGCACTGGAACGATTGGGGAGCCAATGCACCTCAGATCCAGTCCGTCCGACGTGTACGGGACATGCAGTGGCACAAGAGAGGGTGCTATATTGCCACCACCCCTACACCTCCCAATCCCGCCCCCGCCCCCGCCCCCGCTCCCTGCCCCCAATCCAAACCCAACCCCTAAACCTAACCCCAATCCAAACCCCACTCCCAAACCGAACCCCACTCCCAATCCTAACCCTGCTCCCAACCCTAAATCCCAAACTCAACCCCAACCTTAACACCATCACCTCCTGCACCACCGGGCCGGGCTAAAGGCAGCTGGCCAGTCCCCAGTCTCTCTATACTACGCCCCCTGTTAGTCTAGACTCTAGAGAATATATATATATCACCATGCAATTTTGGAAAACTGTAACTAACAATAATGAAAAATGTTAATTTGTTGGAAATAAAGGTTTGGCCCTGATTTTGGCTTTCTGATCATTTTTGCAAGTTATTTATTAAGCATAAATAATTCTAGAGAGGTGTTCTTTTATTCACAGTATTGTTAAAATTGCATGACTATTAAGCATTAGGAGCAGCACTGGGAAACCATATATAAATGTTTGGGGTGGTTAAATGGGCACTTGTTTAGGTACATTTTGGGACAGTAGAAATCAAATATTGATATACATCTTTTAAGTTCCCATTAGTCTGTTAAATGTAATTTGGCACTATACAATTAGGAAAAATAAAATATTGACGTGACCTAAAAGCGATGGGCATGTAATGTAATCAGTTCAAAATGACAACTTTGTCAACAGGTTTAGACATTGCTAAATGACAGGATTATGTTACCCCTTTAAAATTAGTGACATGTATCCCAACAAATAGTCCTGCTAGATATAAAGTAAAGCACCTTTCAAATGATAAAACTCATAAATTATGAGTTTTATAATTTGACCTATGTAACCTATTATTATAACATACTATGAGTCATAATATGTTGTAATTATAGGTTAAATTTTACCAATGTACTCTCTAATATTCATGAGTCTCTTTGGTTGTCAATGAATCAATGACAGGGCTGAAAAATCAGTCATTGGTTAAACAACAGCTTGTCCCGCCCTCAAAAGACCAGTGATCCAATCAAACGTCACCTTCATTCAGCAGGCTCGCGAGGTGGGCGGCAAACGCGCAAAATTTGAAAGTCGACCGGAAACAACGTTAGAAGAGAGGAAAACAGTGTGCTCCTTAGCATGTCAATGCTTCAGTGTATATTTAGGACTAAATTATAATAACCTGCATGGCAGTCTGGTGAGTAAAGTCCTCCCGTACACTTTGGTCTCTTGAAAAGTAACTGAAGGACACTTCTACGTGTCGCGTCAACGTTTTTGTTTGATAGCAAAGTTAGCAAAGGTTAGCTAACGTTAACTTAGCATGCTAAAGGGTCGCTTTGTTGACATTTGTTGACAGTTATTTCCTTAGCTTTTCTAAAACCTTCGTCCTCCGTCATAGATACCTTTTATTAATCAACGCGTTTCATTTGAGTACTTACTTCCTTTTACTATCTGTGTGTCATTCGCACAGGTTGTCTGTTGTTAAGAAACAATGTTGAAGTTCAAATACGCGAGTCAAGGAAGCCTGCAAACGATGATGTCCTCTTCGGACCCCATCACCAGCCGCAGCTCCAGGCTCAACCAATTATTTCAGGTAAAGTTGTGTATATCGTTGATGTCCTGATGCCATAACTGTAGACGAGCAGCCACCTTCTCCGCCAGCAGCTGCACAGACAGTGGAGCTCCTTCTCAAACAGTCAGCTCCAGACAGATTCAGGAAGTCATTCCTGCCAACAGCAATAACTCTGTACAACAAATCACCTCTGGCTAGCAGAGAACTCACTGCTCCATAGTTACTCTTTGATAACTTTCCTTAAAAAACATTATTCTTCCATCTGTATATAGTGTCTTCACACCGTACCTTTTACATTTATACTTAATTTAATATGCTGTGTCATGCACACTTAATGTAAATAATATCCTACATGTTTATTTTGTTAGCTGTAATTGCTCCTGCATTGTGTATATTTTACAGAATATATTTTTCACTGTCAATATGTCTATATTTAACTTTTTAGTTCTGTTTTAATTATATATTTTTTACATTTTATTATTTTATGTTTGTTTCCCACATTGGGGTCAATAAAGTAAATGTAATCTATGTTGCACGTCTTAAAAGCAGCCGCAGTAACTGTCAGCAGCTGATCCTATGTCTGTGTACCTTCTGCAGGGCCGAGTCAGCCTGTGTGGGCCACAGGGAGGAAGCACTTTAGGTCGGGAGGAGTGTCTGGAGGCTCTGCTGCTTCTCTACCAGGAGTGCATGTCCCCAGAGCTTATGAAGATACATCATGTGGCAAACTTTGTCAAAAAGTGTAAGCATACCCTTTACACACGTGCATGATATTATTTTTGTTTTGTTTTTTGTTTTGTTGTCTATCTGTGTTATCCATCTCATTAGTGGAAAGTCTGAAAGGTGTCAGTTGATTTGATTTGGTCAGCTTTTGAACATTCCTATTTATGTTTTTGGAGCTTTTGTTTTTGAAGACTATATTATTGATTTGGGCTCAACAGTCTGGAAAAAATATTTATTATTTAGTACTAATAATGGTGATTTTTGGTACATTATTACCACAAATATTGCAACTTCTCCAATTTCATTATTACACTTCTGATAATCTGATAATTGTTCAGCCCTTATTCTTTTATTTTGTTTCTGTTTTCTAGTTTGAATATTCACAAACAGTTTGTTATTTTCAATACCAGAATGACATCATTTATGTCATACCAATAGAAGTTCAATGTGTATGTCACTGTGTATCACAATAGAACACATTTTTGTAAATATAGTAAGTTTACATTTCAAAATCTTAAAAATGTGTGTCACTTAATTTCCCAGAAACAAAGAATTAAAGGCTGTCGGTGTGTTTGTGAATCAGTTTCTGAAGTGGTCTCCGAGCTGCGGGACATGCAGCCTGGTCCTGCTGACTTTGAAGTGTGTGCAGTGGTGGGCCGTGGGCACTTCGCTGAAGTCCAAGTGGTCCGAGAGAAGGCAACTGGGAATGTTTGTGCACTGAAGGTCATGGAGAAGGCCGTTTTACGCACTCAAGAAAATGTAAGTGACTGCTTTAATAGATTACTACAGTAGAGTCAACCAGTAGGAAGTATGTCAATGTCAACTTTAGCATTTTTTTAATTTGGTGTTACAACATTAGTGGCCTTTTTATACCAATTACAGTTTTATATGTCACATTAGGAATTTAGCACATTGATCTGAGTATTAAACATAAGATAAGAGATGGATGACTGGGACACACCGCCATTGTAAATATTGTTACTAACAGCTGTGCTTTTCCCGCTGTTACTAGTCAAAACTCAGAAGCCTGATATGCCTGAGCATTGTTTTTCAACCATTATCAACAACAGCTCAGTTTCTGCACACGTTTTTTAAAGGTCAATGATTTTAGACTTATTTCATTTAACCATGACATTGGTTTTGAAATGAACTAAATCATTGAGGGTTTAACCACTTACACATTACCAAAATGCAGTTGTTTATCACCAGATAAACATGAATAAGGTAAATTGAAAAGAAAAGCACATGCAAAGCCGTATCTGTAAGACTCAAAACAGTTTATGGAAATCTTGGGTTTTTTAATGTTTGCAATATCCTCCACGCAATCATTGTGTTTTTGTTGTTGTTCCAAAAACATTGCATTCTGAAAAAGCGCCACTGGAGGGGGTTGTAGGGTTGAATAAAACTTGTGGGCACTTTATCCCACAGCTGTGCTCTCTGGCATGTGACTAATAGAATAGATTTGAGTCAGAATAGTACATGAGCTCTGACAGGAAGGGCCTAACATGATCAATTCAATGAACAACTTGTATGAACATGAACTGCTTTGTTCACGCCACCTGGGCCTACTTTGCATAATCTTTGACACAATTCCATCCCACTTTGGCTATGAGCAACATGAAATGAAGATAGTCGACAAAGAGTGCATTGAAAAGTACTTTAATGTTCCCCATGGTTTAATAGAATAACAACATTGAAACCCCATTGGAGCTTTAATGATAGTAGCTTCTCAGTGTTTTAGACAGATGAGTTCATGTTGGTGACAAACACTGTGTAGCACTGCTGTTGTATTTATCTAATGTTTATATACTGATGCCTTTTTTAATTCTTCTAAGGTGGTTTTTCATGAGGAGGAGCGGAGGGTCTTGGCTCTGAACAGCAGTCCCTGGATCCCGCAGCTTCTGTACGCCTTCCAGGATACAGAACGGGTCTACCTGGTGAGACTGCTGATTTCTTTCTTCTCTGATGATGAGGATGAAATGAACTGGTTCCTTTACATACACTTCTACTTATCAGAACAAGGCTTTGGGGGTCTTTTGCAAACGGCCATAGACCAAAGGGGAGTCATTGTGTCATAAACATGCCAAGCCAATGGCAAACATTATGCAGTGCTTTGTGGGTGGATTATACATTTTAATACCCAGGGTCCTACTTGTAATATGAGTCCGATGGTACTTCAGTTAGTAACTGTAGTATACTAACTGAACAAATGTGATGCCACTGCCAGCTTTAAAATTGTTTACAAGAGAGGGTGTTTTAACTTCAGAGCGTTGTGTGTTTTCTTTCTGAACTGTGGGATTACAATGGTAAAGAAGTTACTCAAATTACACAAATTATTAGGGCACCAACTAGGGCTGCTCAATTCATCGTGTTTTAATCGCAATTACGATTTTGGCTTGCAACGATAATGAAAACAACATCATCAAAATAAAATTATTATTATTATTTTTTTTATTTTTTTTATTTGTATTGATTTTTCAGTTGAATTATACTTAAAGTTCAGGGTAATCAACTGTTAAAAACATACAGTTCACATTTTTTTTTTTCAATAAATGGATGCTTTCAAAGTAAATGGATAATCCTTTTTAATAATCGTGATTTCAATTATTGACCTAAATTGGGGGTGGGGAACCTTTTTCCACTCAAGGGCCATTTCAATTTGTACAACATCCTTCGAGGGCCGTACAAATTATTGAACTCAACGTCTGCTTAACTTGCCAAGGCACAC